GAGACAGGGTTTTGCCATGTTGCCCAGGCTGGTCTTGAACTCCTGGGCTCAATCTCTTTGCCTGCCTCAGCCTCCCAAAGTGCTAGGATTACAGGTATGAGCCACTGTGCCCAGCCTGGACAGCCATATTCAACATAAGGATCAATCTTCCAGACCTTTGACCTCAACCCACAGTTTTCACTAGCTCCTGTCACCAGTCTCTCCACTGGAACCTCATTGACTCAGGCTCTCCTATCTCTTCTCAATCTGTCCTGGTTTGGGGATCAGGGGGCCCTGGGTAGTACCAGTTATGTCCATTTCTTTCACTGCCACCTTAACTCCCAAGATGGTCCCAGCTCAGTAGCTTCTTCATCCCTGCCACTGCCCTTGGTGACTTGGTTCTGCCTTCAGATCCACCTGACTGACTTCCAACAATTTCAGGGCTGGATCAACCAAAGAGTCAGTCTGGCTTATAGAAAGAAAGGAAGAAAGCCAGATAATCTCTAAAGGCCAGAGCTTAATCCCTTCTTCTCACCCCAGGTCATAGAGCCTTGTCAATTCCTGCATCCACAATAATAATTAGGCTGGGCTTGGTGGCTCACTTCTGTAATCCCAGCACTTTCAGAGGCCGAGGTGGGTGGATCACCTGAAGGAGTTCGAGACCTGCATGACCAACATGGAGAAACCCCGTCTCTACTAAAAATACAAAATTAGCTGGGCATGGTGGCACATGCCTGTAATCCCAGCTACTCAGGAGCCTGAGGAGAATGGTTTGAACCTGGGAGGCAGAATTTGCCGGGAGCTGAGATCACACCATTGCACTCTAGCCTGGGCAACAAGAGTGAAACTCCGTCTCAAAAACAAAACAACAACAACAATAATAATATTTAAACCTACTAGGAGCCTGGCATTGTGATACATGCTGAGGATACCAAAATACAAACAGCCATGGGCTGTGCCCTCAAGGAACTTGTATACTAATCAGGGAGATGAACAAATAACTAGGCAATGACAGTATAAAAAAAGAGTGGCTGGAGAGAAGACTGGAGAGGCAGTGCCAGACACAAAGGAAGGGATAGCTTTGTTAGGAGTTTGGCCTTTACCTTGAATATTGGAGTAAGTGCTGAACTTGATCAGATTTGCTATAGTATACAATACTCTGGGTAATCAAGGTTAGATTTGAGGAGACAAGGATACCAATTATAAAGCCACTAAAATAGTCTCAATGACAGGTGGCTAGAGCCAGGCTGAAGGCAAGGTCAGGGTATGGGAGAAGAGCAGGAGTGGTTTTTAGACACTGGCCCACTGTGGCCACCAGGTCCAATTTCCTGCGGACCACATGTAGAAGGTGTGTGGCTCTGACCTCTAATCCTTACAGGTTTAAGAAGACATAAGTGGCTGTAGTCCTGTGGTCTGGTCATTGGGCAGCACGGAGACTGCAGTCTGTGTTTGAACAGAGGATTCCTTGGTGCAGGAAAAAAACGTGTAGAACTGGAACTGACAAGGTTGGGAATATGTGTAGGCAGTAGGAAAATGAAAAGGGATGTATTTTGCAGTATCTGGATTTTAAAAAAAGAAAGAAAGAAAAAGAGAGGTTTTCCTGGGAACGGTGCCTCATGCCTGTAATCCTGGCACTTTGGGAGGCCGAGGCAAGTGGATCACCTGAGGTCAGGAGTTCGAGACCAGCCTAACCAACAAGGTGAAACCCCGTTTCTACTAAAAATACAAAAATTAGCTGGGTGTGGTGGCAGGCGCCTGTAGTCCCAACTACCTGGGGAGGCTGAGGCAGGAGAATCACTTCCACCCAGGAGGTGGAGGTTGCAGTGAACTGAGATTGCACCACTGCACTCCAGCTTGGGTGACAGAGCTAGATTCTCAA